ACTAGCGATAGAGGTCAGCTTAGTTTCGACCATTCAATACAAGCCGCGTTACTTACCTCGTAGATGATGTTCGTCTTCAACATGACCGACCGCTTCAGCTTCATCCGGATGGCGATCAACGCCTGCACGATCTCCCCGCGGTTGACGTCGTGCCGCCCTCTCGTGTTCGCAAAGCTGACGATCGAGCAGTAGACGCTGCCTAGCTCAGCCGTCGTCGTGCTCAGCATCGTTCGCTGGTACTTGCGCAGCGTCGTGCTCGGCGGAAGCAGGCTGAAGATGAACGCGGCTGTGACGCCCGCGCAGACGAGCACAAACCGTCGCCACGCGAGCGACCAGCCGTAGAAGTGGAAGATCGCGGCGAAGTGCGCATTCTGCCAGGAGAATCCGAGGACGATGCAGGTCGTGACGAAGTAGATGATGTTCGTCATCGCTGGGCCCGGCCAATACAGTCGTCCGTAGTAGAAAAAGGGCGTACAGAAGGCAATGACAGCCGTGTAGCCGTAGGCGTTGCCGATGCCCTTCTGCGCGGAGATGTACCACATTACCAAGCCTGTCAGGCCGCCGAGAAGCGTACACAGCAGACGCGCGAACAGCGCAAACGTCGTGTCGCCCCTGAATCGCGCCAGTGTCAGTTGGCCCATGAAGATGCCCCAGACGAATCGCTCTTCGTATGCGAGTGTGCTGTAGCTTGAGGAAGTTCGGGAGGCAGAGGAGGACGGTGAGCGTGCCCGCTTTGAGAGCGAAGAGCATGTTCCCGCCCGTGAGACCCATAAGCAGAGTGTGGAACCACGACATGACGTGCTCGAGGGGAGTGTTCGGCGGGAGTGCGTCGGGGTCTCTCCGAGACGGCTGGCCCAAGTCTTCGTCCCAGTCGGTCTGCATACCGGGGATGGTGTCTAGCAACCGAGTGAAGACATATCAGAGCCGAGTCAGCATCGCATGTCGGTGGAGCCATACCTGGATCCTCATCGTCGTTGCCTTCCGTTTCGACCGTTGCGTCGTATTGGCTCCCGCCCCAGTTCAAGAAGACCTTCTTGAATTTCACGGGCATAAACGGGCCCACAGGCGAGGCCTCTTCTTGTCTTCCTCCAGCGACGTGATCGCGTCGATCTGCAGTATAATCCGGTCAGTGCTACATGTATGACCCTGAGCTGTCAAACACGACGTACCATTTCTATAGCCACGGTTGCGAACTGGATGAGATGGTACTGGTATACGTAGCAGTGGAAGAGATATCGGTGAGGAGGCGGCTCGGCAGTCGCATCCGCACCAGGTGAACCAACGCGGGCGGGGTCGAACGCTGAACGGTAAGGGTCGAGGACCTTATGCCTACGAACCCCGAATCAGTGCCACCTTTTTCGACCCTGTCACTCAGGCCACACACCTGAAATCCTTCCGGAACCGGTTCAGTGCACTGTCCACCTTGTACCTCACTTCCAGCATTCTCGCCATCGTGTCCAACCTCCTCTGCTCCGCGCTCTTCCTCCCCTCGAACCACCCATTCCGCACACTTCCGACCCACCCCCTCGCCTCGCGCACAGTGTCCGCACACGCGCCCAAAAGGTCTTCGCAGCTCTCCCCGAGGAGGTCAACGAACGTCTCCGTCGCCTCCGGGCTGTCCGGGTGGCTCAGCCGCGTCGCCTCGAGCGCGAGGTACCGTTGACTCTCGAAGACCGCGACGGCCGTCTCGCCGACGGGCGCGCTCGCGTGAGGAACTGAGAGCGAATGGGCGAGGTGGAGGAGGGAGAAGTGCAGTCTTTGATTTTGGCCGTCTTCTTCGCTATCAGGCTGCCGGTGTCGTAGGTGAAGGTGTCGGCTGATGGATAAACGGAGAGAGGATAGGGAGCCGCTCGGATTGGTCTTGGACCGACCGGTCCGGTGTCGAAGCCGTCCACGCTCTTTGGTGTCCACAGCGCTAGGTGTAGGGCTCCCGGGACGGGAAGGCGGCGGGCTGCGACCCCAGGCGACTGAGTCGGGATCAGATCGTGGGTCGGGTGAGTTTGAGCCGAGTGCAGGCGTGCCAGGTTGCGAGAGTGACTGTCCGCGCAAGGCCACAGGGGTCATGACCGGTGTGTTCGGTTTGCTGGGAAGAGGTGTGACTGGGAACCGCTCACGCGTCGGGTCGATGAGGGTGAAGAAGATCCCGAGTCCGTTTGCGCGCACAACTAGGCGGCGCCCGAACTCTTGCATATGCCCGATATCTGCTGGTGCGAATCGACCCCAGATGACGTCGTTCTTTACGAGACGCAACGCCGCAGCGGCAGGACCAAGTCCTCCTTCGGACTTGGTGACAAGACCGTTGATCTTCTGGACCGTCGAGGAGAAGTCGGAGCCGAAGGGAGGACGCCTGAGTACGGCGCGATGCTCGCGGAGCGCAGCTTCAAGTGGCTCGAGCGAGCGTGCAAGGGCACTCGCGTACTGTGTGGTGATCGTGCTGGGGAAGATGGTCGCGCTCGCCAGGATGCAGAGCCCACAGTGGAGCACGAGTGGAAGGACAATCACCCTACCAACAGTATAGTATGGGTAGGGGAAGAGGACATCGGTGATGAAGGATATGTCGATGACGACCGCACCGAAAACAGAGGGAATGAGGTAGGGGCCCGATCCTTTCTTGGCCTTGATAAAGAGGAAGAAAGTCACGCCGAGGAACACCCATATGGCGGAGATGACGGTCGGGCCAGCCTCGATGTATTGTCCCGAGAGTGCCTCCGTCTGCGTAATGTTGTAGTCGGTATGGTGGCGCGCCAGGTGCGCGAAGAATATACCTAGACAAGACCAGCTATGCAACGTCAGAGCGAGGTTGTTGGAAAGGCGAGAGACTCACGCCCAGCCAACCGTGACACAGAGCGCAAAGAGTAACTCGCGCTCGAGAACGGAAATGAAGGGATCGGCGGGTGGGTCGAGGAATGCGGCTGGACGTGGTGTGAGAGCCATAGAAGATGCAAGACAAGACAGACGTACCAACTAGAAAGAGGAATGAAGCCTTGGCACGAAAGGGTTGTCACTTTGTGTACATGCATCATATGGCGAATACTCACCTGGCCTGTGACGTCCTCGACTGGGCTTAGGACCATGAAGACGACTGATATAAAAGCCATGACGAAGCTACGGACGATAGGCTTGATCTTCGGCCAGGAGAAGTTGGCTGGGATCCACGCGAGGTCGATAGGGAAGTACCTGGCGGCAGTCTGGCGGAGTGCATTCATGTACTGGCCGCAGGACCGTCTTTCGCGCCGCTGAGGTTGCTTCTCAGTGTCGCTGGGCGAGGACCGGCCCTGCGAGCCTCCGGGCCCCAAGAAGGCGTCTCGATACGGACATGGCGGAGAGGCGGGATGTCGCGGGGAACGTGGTAGGAGCCATATGCGGCTTCATCCTCGTCTTCGTCGCCGAGACGTGGGTCATAGCGGAGGTTGTGCCTCCAGCTGATGTCGATAACCTCGGGGTACTGAGACACAGGAAGGAGCTCTGGCGGCGGCATGGTCGGGAAAGGGGCTTACTCCCGTGCAGACGAGATGCGCGTCCTCCGAGTCGCCAGAGTCAGTGGGCCAGTCCGCGCGCGGGTGGGCCTGTTCCGGGGAGAGGTCGTCGGCGAGCCAGCGGTCGTCGTCGCGAGCGTCGGGGCGTGCTGGGCGGGCACAGGGCTTGCGGCACGGCGTGGGGTGTTATATGGGCGTCGGACATGACGGGCAGAGCAGATGGGGCGAGCGCACAGAGACCCGAGTGCGCTGCGCCCGTCGACGGCGACGCGCGCATCCGTCGATCAAACGCGCCCACCTGCTGCCCTCACGTGTTTACTCTCGTCCTCGACCTCCCGCCACCACCGCCTTCACCAGCTGCGTCGGGCTCGTCTGTCGACCTCCTCAAGCGCGTCGTCGACGTGTGCATCGTCCTCAACCTCACGGACGGCGTGGGCTGGCATCGTCGGCTAATATGGTACGTCGCGTCTTCCATTTGACCGTCGCGTCCTCAGCCTCTAACCTCCCGGCCAGGCGTGCTCTTGTACCTCGACATTTACATGAGCAGCGCCCTCGAGCAGACCGAGGAGCACGTCAGCGGTATGATCACCCGTTGCTATGGTGATTCGTTCATTCGCGGGAACACCGGTACGTGCTCTCGTCTTTACTCTGTCTCCGATGCGCTCATGCCCCCTCAACGCTCCAGTCCCTTACACATCCGCCCCCATGGGTTGCTTTGATGTGCTCGTCAAAGCGTTATGACTCTTCAGTGACGCCCGGACATTCACCATTGCCGTTCGCCGCATCTCAGCAGGACGGAACACCGGCGGTATGTCTTCCAATTGCATCTCTCTATATGAACGGCGTATTCATAGACCGTTCTCATCTTGTACGTGTGGTGAATCAGTCGACCTCGAGTGAGGTATTCAATTGAATTCACAGATTTCCCATCAAACCCCGAGTTGCTGATGCTGTCGGCCATCCGCAACACTGCCTCTCGATCTGTCCAAATGTCCCCGCTCGCAGTTGTATCCACACGCATCGCTGTCTGCCAACTCGTGTCCAGTTCACCTCCCAAGTCATGACGTGCTGCCGTATCGCTTTCTCCACTGCAAACCGCTCTCAACGAAGATATTCGGCGTGGTGAGGTAAGCTGCATCATTGCAGGTGACTAGTACTCGACGGCTAACCGGAAAACCGATTGCAGATTGTGGCATGCACAGGAGTGGTAGCTTGGGCTCACCTCGCCTTCAGACTTCCTCGAACGTAGGAAACACGTCGGTGTCTGCCCCGCTTTTGTCGTCGACTACTACAGTAAGTCGCATCTTTCTCTCGTCTACCACCCTGCGACCACTGACCTTCCGGCCAGGCCTGCTCTCGTACTCGGACAGGTATATGAATACCGTCCGTGAGCAAACGAGTAGCACGTCAGCGACGCGCTCACCAATCGCCACGGCGATGCACTCGTTCGCGGGAACACCGGTACGTGTTCTTGTCCGTACTCTGCCCATATGCTCATATGCGTTTCATAACCCAGTCCTCTACGTATTCATCGCTCAGCTATTGTGATGCGCTCGCTGAAGTGTTCTGACTCAGGAGCTACACGTAAGCACATATCCCTGCCGCTCGCTGCATCTGAGCGGGACGGAACAATGGCGACATACTTTGCGGTTGCTACTCTGTATGCCGACAATGTATCCGTGCAGCCTTAACCTCCTCTCATTCCTTGATGATAAACCGTCCGACCTCGAGTGAAGTACCGAATCGAATGGATAGATTCTCCATCAAACCCGAGTGGCTGATGCTGTCGGCCACCCGTCAATTGCGATGACGCGCCGCAAGTCAACTCCATCGCCTCTGTGTCAGTCACGCCCGCTCACGTTCCTGCCACCTCTGCGTGGCTTCAGGGTCAGCGGCCTCGGCTCCGGGCTGCTCGTCCGCAACCTCGTCTTCCGTCTCACGGTCTACTCCTTCACTCTCGTACTTGCATCGACAGCGAGAGCATGGACTTGATTGACAGGTCTGCCATGAAGCAACAACCACCGACAGCCTCGGAGGGCGAGGAGAAGGCGAGGATACGCGAGAGGAAAGAGATGAACACGTAATGAGTCAAAAGGCCGAGCAGAAATGCTCCACGGACAGAGGTACGTAACAATAGGGCATTCCTGTCTCGCCGGTCTCTACGTCAGGCGACACTAGAGAAGGGGTGGTACACGTTGCTGTCCTGTTGCCGCAGTTCTCCTTGTTCCGCCGCTTTAACCACTGCCTTCTCGTGTACAAACGACCGCCGCTGACTTCGGGGCTGTCATTCACAGGTCTTCTGGCAAGTCCCCGCATCTCGACGCGGCACTGAAAAACGCGTTCGCGTTGACGTGTTCGCAGGCCGCCCCAAGACGCCGCAACTTGTCAATGCAATTCCTTGGAGCGTCGAGCCTTCTTTGCACTGATGCGCGATTCGATTCGGTTGGGGATCCTGATCCAAATTGTGGTTGTACAATAGCATTGCGCGTACGGTATGTGATTCAATTGGTTCTGTGACAGCGAGAGGCAGACTCACGTTCTTCTAATGCTAGGCCACTTGTCTGCGCCCTCGTAGCGAGAGCCTGCGGTTGCAGTTGGGCGTGCTTGCGCGAACGATACATCTCGCGGGTAGTGAGTGCAGTATCCGAAGCTCCTAAAATGACTTGCCTCATGGTAGGCATGCCAGCACCCCAGGCGAGCACGTGGTGGAGGCAGAGCCTCATTGACAACCACAGTGGTAAGCCGAGAAGATCTAGTGTCTACCTTTACATCATACATGACAGGTATATACGTATGGTGCAACCTTCCCTCGAACCACCTACAGTTAAGGTCAGTCATTCTTGTGGCTCATGTCTTCTGTGCCCGAATTACACTGACAAATCTCTCGTTACTCCAGTCGATCCGCGGGCGCCACCTGCATGCTACAGGTAAATCCGTACCACTTGTCCCGCGGCTTGCCCATATTGACGAACTCCGTTGCATCGAACTCAGGCATGCGTTACCGGAGAAGCCTGCGGCGTTCTCGCTCGCTCGCGATCGCGCCCGCTAAGCAAGGAACCAGTTTAAAAATTTTACGTGCAGCACGGATACATGTAATCATCCACGCAGACACGAACATCGATCACGGCGCTGAGAACCAACGAAGTACAACCTCATTGCTGTCTTGCTGAGCCCTAGAAGACGTGCCTGAGCTTACGACACTGTGCTATAGCTGCGTGAGTACAAGAGCAGGAGTTCGACATTCGCAGAACCTGCAACACGACAACACCCATTGCATAGTCCGCTTAGTATGCCGAAAGCACAGTTGACATTTACGACGACGTCCCCTCGGTTCCACCCGTACTCCCAGCAGTTGCGGCGTGCCTGGAAACGCGAAGTGAGTCATTTCTGCACTGAGTCTCATCTAATGCTAATGCATTGCAATGTGTACATTGAATTAAGATGCGACTGCGCGAATCCCTGTCAAACTACCCATTGTGGTTGCTTGAGATGCTACATCTCCTCAGTCGTGAGTATTCAGTTTCGAGTCAATAGGCTGTTATATTTATGTGGGCATATTCGTCGTAGACCCCGATGACTGGCCGGATATGTAGGAGTATCACCGCAAGGATGTGTCTGTACACAGTCGCTGTGTTGATATATGCTCTCGCATCGTTGTCATTCGCAATGTTCTCGTGGCGGTCTGACAAGCTTCAGGCCGCCTTACACTTTGCTATGTAGAGCGACGCGCGAACAAGCTAAGTTACTAGAATTGAGCAAACACGGAAGCTGCGAGAACCTACTACACATGCACCAAATCCACGACTTGAAGCAATATGCAAGGCGCCAGTAAGTACTTAGACTGTAGAGACCTGGTTTGGGCGCCTGTGCGATCGTCTCCCGCGGTCCTCTCCTCAACGCTGCTTTCGACTGCTCATGACCCTCGTTCCGGTGTTCGCGCTCTCTCTCGCCCATCCCAACCGTTGACTCCCATTGATCGATCCTTCACTCGCTCGGCATGCATCGACTCGCAGCCACATTCGTCACCACCTCCCTATAGACCCAAGAGGAATACGCCGTCTCAGTCGAGCTTGGCCATGAGCATTTCGTGCTCCCACGCATGCTAGACAGGCGTCATGGAGGGAATTGAATGTCCTGTGTGCGCGTAGTTGGTGGTGGGGGCTCTGTAGGTGAGCATAAGTTTTATCGCTCGAATCCAACTCGAATCACAACCTGTCTGAACGCCTGCGCTTTCTCCGCCCGTCGCTGCTGCGGCTCGTACATATCAAACTCTTCTCCCATCGTGCCATCAAGCCCTAACGGCTCTTCCCAAAACGTGTCAACAGCTCGAAACTCGGGTGCGTGTCTTTTCTCTGTCTGCGCAGACGATACACCTAGGACATCACCGCAGCCCCTGCCCACGATCCCGGGGCGTTCCAAGGCCACCGGCGACATGGACAATACGACAGCGCGTCCTGCAGTCGACGGTAGAGAAAAGGAAACAAGGGGCTCAAACGGCCGAGAGAGGACACGAGTAGGTGTGTCACCCGCCCCAGCTCCCCTACCGCCATCCCAGCCCACCCCCGCAGTTCTACCGTCTCTCAGATGCACGCAATGCGTCCCGTGGGGTTGTCTGCTCGTGTCCTATTTGTGTCCTATGGCCCTTTCCGACACCTCACTACCTTCCCGACTTACCACCGCCCTCCTGCTTCATTGCCCCGCCCTCTATTCCTCTCGGACACACCGAATGCGTGCTGAGCATGAAGTACGTACGCATGACAACCCTGCGTAAGAGCTGGGTGGTCTGTTCACGTCCTACGGCCCCCCGCTACCCTGCACACCCAGCATGCAAACACGAAAGGAGACGACAGACCATGAGCTCGCGAGCATCCGAGCGGACGACATGGCAACAAGACGGGCGAGCGAGTGCATAAGAGAACGGGCGGGCAAGATGGCGTCCGTGCAAGCAGACGGGTGGTCGAGAAGACGGGGGACGGGATCGCAAGAGGTCGTGCAGGCGAGACGGCGAGAGGACGTGCGGTCGAGCAGAGAAGAGGACGAGATGACAGGCACCTGAGATGGCGGGAGCACGAGGCGGCAAGCGGACGTGCGAGCGAGGTGACGGGCTGACCAGAGTGCAAGAAGTCAGGCAGGTGAGCGGGTCGGCGGAATAGCTAGTGACAGGGCGGACAGGCGGACGGACGGAAGAACAACAGAGGAAGCAAGTCAATGGACGGGTGGACGAGCAGGTCAGAGGACTGGTGGATGGGAAGGTGAGAGAGTGAGAGGATTGGGGAACGAACAGTCCTGGGGTGAGCGGGTTACGCGGCGAGCAGACAACAGGACAGCAGGACGAGATCGTTGGCTGGCGAGTGAGCGGACGGACGGAAGAGCGAGCGAGACTCCCTCTCCTAAGCCAAAGGGCAAGGCCCTGCTCGCTGCTCGTCTCTCTCTTCACCGTCGTGCTCGTCGCCACAGCCACCGCCCGCGATATCCTCCTCCGGGCCCTCCGACGACACCAGTGATGACTCCCGCCACTCAGATGTGCGCCAGGTTTCCTTAATTGAGCTCACGCGCCCACTGACGATCGCTCGCAGATGCACTGCTTCCCAGCAGCGAGGGGACCGCCCCCGTCGACGAGCTCGACACCGTCCAGGACGTCCTCGTGCCTCCTGTTCGTCGTCCCCGTTCCCGCCGCCCACTGCCGCCCCCGGCTCGCACGCCCGGCACCTCTCCGACGAGAGCACATCCGGATCGCCATCTCCCGCCCGCTCTCCCTCACCCCTACCTTCGTCTGGCCCCGCTCAGCCCCAACTTCCACTCCGGCCCCGCCACCCCGCGTGCGGCCCGCCCGCAAGTCCTCCCGCGCCAATACCCTCGCTGCCATCCAGCACGTCGCCTCCGAGGACGCCCACGCTCGCCGCAGACTCCCGCTGCGGCTCCATGATCCTCTACCGCATCGCCAGCGACGACCTCGGCGCCCTCACCTCGCCCCCCTCCCAGCCCATATGGCCTGTCTGGACAGAAATGCGGCAGATGAGCGGGGTCGCCCGTGAAGAACACTTGCGAGCAAAACACTCACCGGCTCTTCGACAAAGCCTGCACCCCGGACGGCGAGCACGACATGCCGAGGTAAGCAGAATTGATCACGCCCGCGAATCCTGACCATTCTTACCAGTTGATAACGCGGCAGACGAGTGCTCGTCAGAGACGCCCAGTTCATAGTCGCACCACGACTCACCTCCCACGACGTCCGCGACACTCCATACGCGCTCTGCAAGTGTTGAGCCTAGATAGCAACGCGGCAGACGAGCAGAGTTGCAAGGTGAGCAGCGCCGTCTTCTATTGGGCAACGATACTTACCTGGCAGTAGCATGCGGGACATCCAGCCCGAGCCAATCACCATCCACCTAAGCACCCGCCCTCTCGCCCACCCTGCTCGCCGGACGGTCTTCGTCGGTCGGGGACGCGAGCCGGGTTGTCCAGCAAACCGCGGGAGTCCGGAAGACGAGAGAACCACACTGGAAGCCGGCGTGGGTCGAGGGCGGCGGCCGTCGAGTCTGGAGCAAACCGGATGGAGTGTTTCGGACAGCGGTCTCTCGTACCGTCGTTCGTATCGGACGGCTGCACAAGATCGGGGGAGACGATGGGGAGATAAACTCGGCGGGATGAGGAGTGACCGCGGTGAGGTCAGTAGTGGACGAGAAGAGGTTCACAGATGGAGGCGAGGAGGTACATTTTGAAGCTGCCCGGATGCAAGGTGTGCTTGTCCGTGCGGACCACGGGACGCACGCGGGGATAGAACGACGTAGTCGTTCGGACGCGAAACGTTGAGCTGCGGATGCAGGTAAGCATTACCGCTAGGAACGAACTCTGGACAGGAAACATACCTTCCGAGCCACAGACCGTCGTGTACGCGCACGCATGGCTGCCTGGGAAGCGCGGAGCGACCGCGAGACCGCCAGACGGCGACCAGTCCCGACGTCGTTCGTCTGGTGGGGCGTGCCGTGGTGCAGAGATGGGAACGGTGTGGTGGACGCGCCTGCGGCGCGTGTACTCACCGCGTACGTGTACCACAGAAGACCTGTCGAGAGTCGGCATCAGTACTTCGGGCATTCGCCGACGCACTGACACTCACTGACGAACATGGGCGCGCATATCTCAGTAATAGGGGAGGTCAGAGTAGCGATTCCGGGCGCGATTCACGCCGCGATCCCAGGGCGATGCTGAGGTGTTTCTGTGTGCCAAGAAAACCAAGGAATCGTACGAAAATCCGGTTTTACTCTGACCTCCCCACCACCGCCGTCTCAAGTCATGGCGATTCTCTGCTGTTGTTGTAACCAGTAGTCTCCGTAGACAGTCACTACGAAATTTGATTTTTTTCTATCTGTCCTACCATGGCCCGCCGCACTCCACGTCGTCGACGTGCAGAAAACCTCCTCAAAGCATACAAGAACTTCCACAAGCAGCGACATACTCGTCTACTGCGTTCGCGCGACCGGCTCGTAGTAGCTCGACCACAATAGCATCGCCGGCAGCGTTCGGCTTCGCTCTCGTCTCTCAGCTCTCTCTCTACTGTGACCAGTCCCACCGACAAGAGCTCTACCGACTCCGCTGTGGTTTCCCCGCCTTCGAGTGATGCCTCCGACTCGTCCAGCTGCGGAGACTCACCTAATGACATTGATCTCAGTGAGATCGAGGCCACGGCTTTTGGCTCTGATGCAGACTCAGAGCATGGCAGCGAGGGCTCAGAGGTGCCTATGCCTCCTGTGGTGCCGTACGACTGGGACCCTGAGGTGGACGACCTTCCTCTGGAAGAAGGGTGGGATGGCTGGGGAGAGTCGGGTTCAGAGGATTCAGATGGCTCGGGGGCTGATGCAGACGACGAGGGTGCAGGTGAGCCTCAGACTAATCAGGTAGCTTCGAAATGCTCATGAGACACAGGCAATGAGGATGAGGACGAACATGAAGATGCCGATGAAGACATGGATGCACCCGAGCCACCGAGCGGCTTGCACCAACACGTCCGCGAGACAATTGCAGCGATGTATGCCAAGCGCTATGAGCAAAGCCGTGATGAGTATCCTCATGGACCTGCGTACATGCCTCATGTACTCACCGTGCTCAAGGAGAAGCGTCCGGATCTCTTTCGCGAGGAACTCCGAGTCACCCCCTTCACCTTTGACCGACTTCTCGCTCGCATTCACCATGATCCGGTCTTCTCCAATGAGTCGAACAGCGACCAGATGCCTGTTGCGGATCAACTGGCGACAACACTCTTCCGCTTCGGCCATTCAGGGAACGGAGTACGCTTGACGAGGGTTGCTGCATGGTCCGGGTATGCGAAGGGCACAATCCTCCTTGCCACGCGCCGGGTGATGACTGCAATCCTGCAAAAGGAGTTCATGGAATCTGCAGTGCGTCCAGCGACTGAGGAGGAGAAAGAGGAGGCAAAGAGATGGGTGGAAGCGCATTCATGCCGAGCATGGCGGAATGGCTGGTTGATGGTCGACGGGACCCTGATACCGCTCTATACATGGCCTTTCTGGTACGGCGAGAGTTACTTCGATCGTAAATGCAACTACTCTCTCAATGTCCAGGTATGGCACACCGTCGCTCAGTCTCACTCTCGATGTCTCATGAACTGTCCACAGATTGTCTCACTGCCAAATCTGCGTATCATCGACTTCAGCTATGGCCATACCGGAAGTACCCACGATGCCTCAGCATGGGAGGAGACTGACCTCTGGCTCAATCATGTGGAGGTCTTGGATTTAGACGAGGGTGAGTTTGTCTGGGCTGACTTAGGTTATGGGGACAATTGAGACGACCCAGGGTGCCTTGGCACCGGCTTAACCCTAGTAAGCGCCGGCTTAACCCTATAG